GCCGCCTGTTGCCGCTGAGTGGCGCCGCCTGTTGCCGCCGGCGGCCCACTCAATATCGATTGAAAGCCATATATGACATATTGTTCACAGGCTGAAGTGGATTCTGATGCGTGAATCTGGTAAATTATATCACAAGTACCCATATGCTGAGCCATATTTGGAATACTGTGTTGCGTACACTCTCGTTATATACTTAAGTTATAACTCTCGGGTGGTAACCGTCCCCATATATGTTATATGTCATCACATATAACATGGAGAGAAAGGTTGCCTACGGGCAGATATATTCCCCTTAACGGCAGCTAATGTCATATTTGATATTCCTTACTGTCTATTGCTGGACTAAACAATCTCAAAATGAGTATTACATATTGCTTTGGCTGTATATTACTTCTTACGGTTTGACATTCACGACCGGGTTCAGGTCAGCATCATATATTGAGTTGTCCGATGTGCGAGAGTCCACAGGGATGTCGCCGACGCTAGGGTTAGGGCCCCATACATGTACATATTTGTAAGCGACGTTTGTGGTAAGTCAGTCACAATGGCCACAGGTTGCATCAGCTCAACTATCATCTCATGTGTGCCTGCTCATAGACAAACACTACCCTGCTCTAGACCACAACGGATAGACAACTATACGCTACCATTAATTCTCATTCCTGAGGCGGGAGCATAATCGACATGGCTACAGTAACACACTACATCCGCTCCTCGTACTCGCCCTCGCAGCGCGACCGCTTCTTGCGCGAGACCGGGCAGGCCGTCTCTTCGTCCTCTCGCTCGCCGTCTCCTGCCCCGGTAGCGCGGCCCCGCGAGCGCGAGGAGGATCTGGAGGAGGCCTGGCGCAGAGAGCCTACCTTCGGCGCGCGGAGGCGGGCACCAAAATTTGTCAGAGCGCGGGTGAGGCACGACGAGTCTGGGAACATCATAGGCGGAGCCGATTGGTTGTTCGATGAGGGTGATTCGAAGGGGAAAGGGAAGGCCCGGGAAGGCGCGGAGGATGGGAAGGAAAAGGTGGCGGGATGGTATAGGGCGTTGGTGGCTTCACGGGAGGAGAGGGCTGCTGAGCTCGATAGGCTGGAGAGGGGCAAGGAGGGCAGCGATGACGATGCAAAGAGTGATGCCCCGGGGCTGGGGTCGAGGCAGCAGCAGCAGGAGTGGGGGGATGCGGGTTCTGCCATGCAAGTGAACTCTACCCCAAGTGCGACCCCAAGCGCATCCTCAAGTTCCATGCTTCCATCCAAATTACGCCCCCGACCGCAATTTCAAACAATAACCCAGCTCGGTCCAGCGGCCCGCCGCTCTCCCACAAACAACTGGTTCACTACCCGACCTCTCGCTCCGACCCCGCCCCCCTCGCGGACAGCGTCCACCCTGGCGGACCTGCTCGCACGCGACCCGCCGCCCGACAAGAAATCTGGTGACGGGAAGGCGAAAGAATACAAGCCACCGGTGTTTCTCCATCTCGGCCCGGAGAATGTAGGGTGGCGGATGCTGGAGAAGGGCGGGTGGAGGGAAGGAGAGGGGTTGGGTGTGAATGTTAGGAGAGTAAGGAGGGATGGGAAAGAAGCTGGGAAGGAGAAGGAGAAACAAAAGGAGGCGACCGTGAAGGAAGAGGAATTGGAGGTGATTGATGTGGACGAGGTTGTGAGCAGCGAGGGGCAGAAGGAGGCAGAGATCATTGATTTAACTGGCGACGCTGACGGATCACAGACCGAAGAGGAAGATGGGTTCGATGAGTTCACGGGCCCAGTGGGACGAAACACAGCGCTCGATCGGGCGGAGGACTCGGACGCTACCCTGTCCGACTCGGAATCCGCTGAGGAGGAATACGAGCAAGACGAAGAGTTCGAGCCCGACCCGACGCGCACCACCCTCTTGACACCGCTTCCCACCGTCCTGAAGGCAGATAAACTGGGCATTGGGTTGCACCACCGACGCGTGCGGCGAAAGAAGGCGAAGAAGGTGACGCACACGCGCGAGAGCGAGGCGATGCGGGAGCACATTCGGCGGGGAGAAGAGATGCGGCGCAAGCAAAAGGAGGTCGGACGTGGACGCAGGGGCTTCGAGAGGATGAGACGAAGGGAAGAGGACGAGCGGCGCAGGCTGATCAGTTATTTGAATAGCTGACCTTCAGGGAGTGGACGGGACGCACCAGTGAGTGGGGTACTACTTTCATGTGTATTCATTATCGCGAAGCACACAGACAGTACGAACGGGGTAGCTTTGTATCTATATTTTTCTCGATACTGACACCCGACTCATGGTCATTGAGTAGCACAATGGCCCGCAAGGGCAAGGCGGCAAGCTGGAATATACTTCATATGTATCCATATTATGTGGATGATGGTTGACTCTACTCGTAACTTGAAGAACAAGCAGCAAGGGGATACCTGATGACAAGCGACCTCTACCTGCCTCTAGATTGCCTGCAGCTAATCTGATTGGAGACTCGGAAGGCAGGTGTGATCTTGTATGAGGCATGAAACTGAACGAATTGCAAAAGGACCGTACGTGCTCTCGTCGCTTTTACATGTTGTGTGCCGTTGCGAACACAGGCGTTATACTCCTCCGAACACCGCCCACAAGCGATAGTCCCCGAGCAACCTCAACTGGACCCAGACGTTCGTGGAAGAATGCAAATGATGCAATGATAGTTATGCGCGAGAGATGGATGATACGGTAGAAATACACTGGTAGTACAATACTTGATGAAACCTTCCAAGATGAATAAACTATGGGGACAAAATCAGAGACATCTATGATCCAATTAGCAACGCTGAAAGCAGAGAGGAAAGCAAAGTTGAGAAAGCACAAGTATCATAGCAATGAAAGATACCGTCCCGACGGAACAACGGACATCCTGAACCAACCAACGTCAACTCACCGCTCAGCCCACGTACTTTCCCCTCTAGCAGCGTCACTCTTCACTTCGGGTATATAGACTCGCAACCACTGCACCATCTCCTTCGTAATCTGATGACACCGACTCAAGTCGATGCTCTTCAGTCTCCTAGGCCACCGGTGGGTGACACTCGCAATAGCGCCAACACCAGAGGCTGCGCCTCGTAAGGCAACAACACCTGCTCTCGACGAAGACAGCTGAGCTTGCGATGAAGCGGACACCGCCGACAAGGGAGGACCGGCGAGTTGAAATGACCCAGAAGCCGATATCGAAACGGGAGGTAGTTGGATACAGGCCGACGATGGAGAGGAAGATGAAGATGGACATGGCGAAACATGCTGACGAGGGAACGCGCGAGACTGAGGCGGCAAGCGAGAATCGACGAACGTGCGAACTGAGTCCCAGTCAATACCAGAGCATCCTGCCAACTCAAGCTTCTCGAGCTTTGGACAGATCCAAGTTTGAGCAGACGCTGGGGTCGATAAACCCTGTTCGATTCGCGTTAGTCTGACAAGAAGGGTGAAGAAAATGAGGACTGACTTTGAGGAGATTGGGTGAGACATCGTCAGCGTCCACCAGGTCCAGCGTCGTCAAAGCCGTTAACCGCTTGAGAAACATCATCAGTTTCAGTTCACCGAAGAAGCTGGCCTCGATCCGTAGATGCCGCAGAGGTAAGGACGTCAGCGATTGTCGCATCAAGTACTTCAGCAACGGCGTCACGTCGTCAAGGTATGCCAATTCAAGTCGCTCGAGAGAGGGGAAAACAAGTTGACTCAAAATCGCCTGGGTGCGCAAGATACCAGAGTAGTAGAAAGACATCTTGGACAGCTTGGGAAGATGAATCATCCCGCGCTGTGGATGAGTAGCTGCAAAGGTGTCGTCAGCATACTCTCCAGGCGGATCTTCCCAAGCGGAACCGGGTTCAGGTTCGACATCGGACATGTTCCTGAGTGAGAATTCCTCAAGCTTGGGACACGCCCGGAGGATATCCATGACTTGAGCTACCGAGGGCGCAAAGTCTTCCCAGTATCCTGCTAGTTTCAACACCCGTAATCCACTAACCAGGCACCGATCCCACCCGAAGTTGAAAGACGTGAAGGAAACGGAACGTAGCTGAGGCAGCTGCTCGTTGAAAAGGGGCAACGGCGGAATGGAATAGTGATCGTCTTGCATCGAATTTGACACCTGTATGGACAGGGCTTGCAGGAGAGGCGCAGGGTCTCTGCATCGCTGAAGTGCTGCATGCGCTTGAGGCCTATTCGATACGATCAACGAGAATGATCGCCACCGGTAGATGCTCGGCCGCAGTACGTCCATCGCATGGACAACATTCTGCGTTATATGACCCGTAGATTCCAGCCGCGGATTGAAGTCTAGGGTGATATCCAGGGGCGCCAACTTCGATCGCACCAGCTTGAGCTTCGCCCTCTCGATAGACTTCTGGCTACGCAGGACCAACCTCGCCCACAACGCCGGCGTGTTCAGAGCTACCTCCGCCCAGTGTCTACACACCAGCATAATAGCGGAGACGCTCAATGAATCTTCCTCCGGCATGTCGAGAACACCCACAACAAATATGGACGCCAGAAGCTCGCTGGGTAAGCGCTGGATGGGCGATTGGAGACGTACGGCTTGTTCCAGTCGCGATTCCAGCATATCTCGGGCACTCATGAGATTCGCCATCTTATGCTCCAGCGTCTGGATAGCTTCCCGAAGATGGGGTATCGACTCGGGGTTCAAGTTTCCCAACCCATCCTTCCCCCTCTTTCTCTCCCCTATATGCGTAGAGCCAGTATGCCGTCCTTGGAATGCAGTGCAAACGTCTGGCGGTATCTTTCCGCGCCGGGAGGTGGATGGAACATGGGGGACAGGGCCACTGTGCGCTGCCGTTGTCTGCACCGACTGATACCGTGTCCGAGAGATCCTCGATGGCTGGGCGTTCCATGAATCGTCAGGCGTCGTATAATCGGGCACCAGGTAGACGGATGAGAGCGACATAGTCAGTGCAAGGATAGAAGTGTTGAGCGAGAACTTGTGTGTCAAGGGAGGATCTTTGTGACCTTAAATTGTCAGGGTCCTTGTTTCACGTTTGACATGACAATGACCTACGCGTTTGTGGGTCCGGAAGAAAGACACCTCAGTCCTGAAAGCTGCTCGATACTGTGGCGCCTTGTCTGAAGTGAGAGGGGTCTTGACTGGGTACAAGGCACAGCTGCAACATACCTCCTGTTCACGCAGACATGTTCCCCGTCACTGTCGGAAGGCGAGGGCGCAAAGACCGCCTCGAGAAGAAGAAGACAAGGCGCATTTTAAGCAAAGTCAAGATGGTGAGCAGATAGAGGCGCCCTCAGAATACCTGCCGAATTTCGATCGTGACAAGCACGAGGCCGGGGCATGCTTTCGTTCGGGCAGGTGAAGACGGTCGAAATTGCCTGAAGTTGACGGAAACGTGGGATGGCGGGTGTGCATCTGCAGGCACGAGGAGCGCAACGAGGCTGCAGCTTATACACGAGGGCAAGGGACTCGTTTGTACCAGAGCCGTTCCCAAGTCTGCCTTCCGCAAGCGGACCTTCAGCCGGCTCTGCACGCCATTTACGACCTCTTATCGCCCGCTTTACAAAGACGCACTACCATCAGACTCGATCGTCTACGATAGAGTTTGTAGTGTAACCGATTATACGGTGGTAATCTACGACAGCAGTTACCTAACAATACACGTACTTCCTGTATTAAAGCTGCCTGTACTCCGCTCAGTACATGTACTTCATGAGAGCGGTTGCGTGTTGCCCCGCTCCACAGAGCGGTAGTAGAAGAACTGGCAGAGGACCTGCAGCAGGCGGAAAGACCGGTCAGATACCAGCCAGCACCGAGAAACTTCTGGGTACTCACGAAAACGTCCAGGAAAATGGTCAAGACGCTTCCTGGCAAACACCGGTTATTTATCAACGGGTCTAAGATGTAAGAATAGCGTAGTACGCACCGGCCAACCAGGACGCGTTTTTCAGTAGATACTTCGGAGCCATAGACGCCGCACAGATGGACAGCGCATACGTTGTGTTCCCCGTGATCGAAAATACGAACAGAAAGGGCGACAGGCCTTCACACCTTGTCTTGAAATTTTTGACTATTGGCCCGTCAGTATTTTACGAAATCCCGAGAAGCTCTGACGAGCCACTCACAGATCTGGGGAATGCGGGCACCAACTTCGAGGCCGAGTTGAGGATAGTGGAATAATGATGTAACATCGAACTTACTATACAAAGCTGCACTTATCCAACCTAAGACCTGGCTCCGCCATTCAAGGTGATCATCTGGACTGTTCGGACTTCCTTCTGCCTTGCCAATATAGCCGCTGATCCACCAACCGAGCACACCGGCTGCGAAAACGAAGAGCAAGGCTCCTCCGAACTTGACAAACTCCCGCCTTACTGAAAATTCTTCTCTGGAACTCTCCCTACTATCAGATAACAAAGGGGTCTCCTCCCCGACAGTGGTGATATCGGGCGCGACGTCAGATACCATACTCGGGCCCTCGCGCTTGCTGGTCCATCTGTAATAGTATATCTGGACCAGCAAGATAACGTCACACAACGTATACTTGCAGAGCGAACACCTTCAACAATCGTCATGAAAAATACACTTTGAGGCTTACGTATACCGCGAGGATGATGACAGTAGGCAGCAGGCCAGCCATAACCGCACCGCCTAGATTGCACAAATCGCCCAGCAGCCATATAGAGACAAAGGCTACGCTCAATCCCTCTCCGGATTTTAATCGGAAGTTTTCAATAATCTGCGGAGAGTATACAACGACCCTTAAATGAATGAGCTTCTGTGTGTACCGCTAAACCTAAAGCGTGCTCACCAGCAGGCGATAGACACCCAGCCTAACTATTTGGTAGAAATGAATTGAGCTCTATTGCCATTGCGGATCTTGCAGGAACATACGATGCTACTCAGATCTCCGTGGGCAGTCATATGCACGACGATCATTAGAATGCGTTCAGATATGAAGCAGAAGCAAGCAAGATACAGATGACTTCTGCAAAAGCCACAGGGGAGATGGACGCAGGAATGCCGGCGGCAACACCCGAAAGCATTTGCTCATCGACTCGCGGCACCGGCACGAGCTCGCGCGTCCTGCAAGCACTTGCTGAGGCTCTCGTCACTGGAACGATCGACCGCGAGCCACCACCATGAACGGTCAGGAAGCCTTCAGGCGCCTTGCTCGACAAGTTCAAAATGCGGGCAGACAGGGCGGCGGTCTCCCGGGTGGAGGCAGAGGACTGTTCACGGGAACCGGCTTGCTAGTCGCGGTCGTTGGCGGAGGCTTCTTGATTAATGAGGGCCTGTTCAACGGTTCGTTCACAGTCCTGTAGTACTTCAGGAACACTAAATTTTTACACATTAGTTGACGGTGGTCACCGTGCCATCAAGTATACTCGGTGAAGCCCTACAATCTAGGATCCTCGTGTCCCTCTAAATTGTGTTCAGGTTGCACGGAGTCACTGAGGATGTTTACTCGGAAGGAACACATATCAGAGTGAGTGTCAAATACTCTGCACTTCGACAAGCCTTTCTCAGTTGCGTAGATCCCATGGTTCGAGACCCCCATCATCTACGACATCCGTGCAAAGCCACGGAATATCGCCAGTCTTACGGGCACTAAAGGTTCTTTCGCTCCCCACTACCGCCATATTCGCAGAGTAACCCTCAGGGCTTAGATCTTCAGATGGTCAACATCACCTGCCGTGTGCTCTCCCGGCCGAACCCCCACGAATTGCCCGCAGTCTACCGGGAACTGGGACTCGACTACGACGAGCGGGTGCTCCCCTCAATAGTGAACGAAGTGCTGAAGAGCGTTGTCGCGCAGTTCAATGCCAGCCAGCTTATTACGCAGCGTGAGCAGGTAAGCCATCGTGCCACTGCAGCCGAGTGTCGCCGGCTTCATATCAGATCAATTTAGGTGTCGCGCCTTGTCCGTGAAGAGCTGACGAGGCGGGGACTGAAATTCCATATCATGCTGGACGACGTGTCAATAACACACGTCGCGTTCTCACCGGAGTTCACGCACGCCGTCGAAGCCAAGCAGGTAGGCTCATTGAACTGAGGTCGTTGGTCGGCTCCGGCTCATGTCCGACAGGTTGCGCAACAAACAGCGCTCCGTGCCGCCTTCTTGGTCGATCAAGCCGTGCAGGAGAAGGCGGTGAGTACTCTTGTCGCCTGGCTGCCAGCATGAAATATCTGATATCCACTAATAGTCTATCATCGTGAGAGCCGAGGGTGAAGCGCAGTCGGCACAGTTGATCGGAGAAGCTGTACGCAATAACAAGGGTTTCCTCGAGCTCCGGAAACTGGAAGCTGCGCGTGACATCGCTGACGTCTTAGCGGCCTCGGGAAACAAGGTTATGCTTGACTCTCAGAGCCTACTTCTCAACGGTATGCACTGGCCGGTAACACCCGTAGCTGGGGCTGATGCAACGATTGCATTTTAGTGGTGGGTGACGATGTCAACCTGACGAAGACGAAAAAGTAAACTACGGTACTGCGATGCTGCACCGGTATCAGGCAAGCTTGTCGTCTCTAAGGTGGGCTCCGGTTGTTGGACGGCTCGTTCGTGCTATGCTCCTTGCCTCTGTTTATCTGGCACCTTGTATCATAGGTTCTCATCGATATACGGCGCGGACTAACATGTACCGCCCTCAGTTTTAATTTATAATTTGCACCACTCAAGTCGTACCATAGGTGGACGCAAGCACGCCGGGACAGTAAAGCATAGTCCCAGTCCAGCTGACGATATCGATGATATATAGCAAGGGACAAAATAGACCATTATACTTTATGCACGAAGATAATAAAAGCTCGATCTTGCGTACACATATAAGGTAGATAGAATCACTCGCTCGGCGGACCTGTCACTCGACGACCTCGTCTGCATCACTATCCTGCTCCCTCCTAGCTTCTCGCCGCGCGGCGGCTTGCGCTCGCCTTGCAAGGTCCTTGTCTTCTTCCAAATCATCGAGGGTTAATTGTTGTTTGCAGCCAGCGGCAGGGCAGGTCTTTGGGCCGCGCTTGAGGTAGTCCCTGATTGCCTCTGCAGAGAATGAATGGTGGCAGTGTTTCCTGGCAAAGCTTCGAATCAGGGCTGGCGCGGACGCGAGGAAATGTAAGGCATAACACATACGACGTGAGAGGGTTCACGAGGATGGTCAGCGTCAGAGGACATTTGTAGTCCTGTGTCATCCCCCCGATTTCGATTTCGTCGTCGTCATCGCTGTCGTCGCCGTCCTCTTGAGGAGGAATGAGATCAACAGTATGTACGACACAGTGCGCAGGCTGTCATACCTTTAGGTAGGAAGTCGTTGATAGGTGGCATAGCTTGTCCAGGTTGTTGGACTTCCTGTGGCATCAACCAGCACTCAGTTCAAGGCATGCATTAAATAGGCGAAGGGAACGAACAAATATTCGTTGCCTGAAGTCGACATATGCCTGATGCTTTCCATACTTCTGCCGCGAAGTCTTGGCCTTGTACTCGTCGATATTCGCTGCCAGATTCTCTTCATAACGGCTCATGACATCGTCCTGTACCCAGATTTTCGTCCGTGTCTGGGACGTCTCTAGGAAGTGTTGTACGCACGATCTTTTCACCTTGGATGACTAGTTGGTGTAGCTCGTCTAGCGTCTTTTCGTAGCATCCCATCTCGCTTTCAAGATCAATGAGGTCTCTCATGGTACTCTCTAGCTCTATTAAGGACTCATAATCAAGAATTAACTACCGTGCAGAAACCATGCTTCGGGACAGCTCACCTTGCTACCCTCGTCACCGTCCACGGCCTCAGCCATGGACGGGGCCAGCTCTTTGAGAGCATTAAAAGCCGACGAGTTCAAGGTTTTGGCCATCGTAGCCCAGTCAGAAGCCAGTCCACCCAGCTTCGTCCCCTCCTTCACGTCAAGGGGCTGATCCTTGAAATTCGTAACGTCTATTCGCCCTTCGACTTGCTCATCTTTCTCGTCATCACTCTCATCCACCTTAATCCTCGCTGACTTGACTTCCTTCTTCACGACCTTGGAAGACCGACGCGCAGGCCTCTCCTCTTCCTCAATGTCTTCCTGAGCATCCGCTCCTTGGTCTTCCGCTACAGGTTCTTCCACGGGCTCTCTACGGGAGCGCCGACGACTAGTACCGGCCGCAGGCATGCTGGATGGTTTCGAGAGAATGACAACGGTGGTGTAGGACCCTTATCGCTCGTGTCGGGCGGGAATAACGGCAGGGACAGGACGCGGGTCACGCGAATAGGGGAGAAAGGCTTGCCAAAACGCGTCCCTCATATGGCTCAGCTTAGGGCCGGTCTATTCGTGATTGCGGCGTTTGCCGATTTCAGCTCATTGCCTCAAATCGTCAAGCTTGAGGCAAACACTTGGTCACCGTGATGTTCGCGGCTTTACGGGCATGCTCGAGGACGGCTAGGCCGCTACTGGGCGCGGCGGCGAGCTCATCTTGTCTCAGAACGTCGACCCTCTCGTCGACGCTGCGGGCAATATCCGCGGCTCGATCCTTTCATGTCTCGTCACCGGCCTTGGTAACGCTCAACCAAGCTATGCGACGTAAACCCCGTCAGAAGAAAAAGGCTGTGAAGTCGCCTCTGCTGGAAGGAAACCCGCAGCGCAAGGGCGTCGTGTCGCAAGTAATCATTGCGAAGCCGAAAAAGCCCAACTCAGCGAAGCGCAAAGTTGCTCGTGTCAAGTTGTCTACGGGCAAGACGGTGCAGGCTTATATCATGGGAGAGGGCCATAATCTACAGGAGCATAGTGTTGTTCTTGTGAGAGGAGGGCGTGCGCAGGATCTTCCCGGTGTCCGGTGCGAGAGCCGTAACTATATTACCTGGCCTTCTTTGTTGACGAAACCACAGTTACAAGATTGTCCGAGGTAGCCTCGACTTCGGCGGTGTGGTTGGCAGAGCTACGGCTCGGAGTAAATACGGAGGTGAGTGTCATAAAGAACTGCACGGTCGTATCGCTGAGCCCGCCTGCAGCCAAGAAACCCAAGTCATAGTCTGCTTACGATTCCCTGTGCATTGTATCATACATTCTACCTATTCCCGTTTCCACATCCCATTACCATGCACGGTATGCATCAGCGAGCGTAAAGTATACAACAACAAAGCTCAAGCCCGATTAGTATTATAAGGCGTATACTTATGAGGTATAAGCCGACAAGTCCTTTACGTCGTCGGTACCAGCTCCCCCTCATCCCTAAGCTTATTCTCCCTGTCCCTATTAGTCCTGAGTGTCTTTTCAATCTCGCAATTCAGCGCCCAGCACCAGATATCTCGCTCCATCCTGCTCCTCGCCCTAAACACCTCCATCTTACGCTTCTTAGACAGCTTGGGTATCTTCTTACTCGCGCCTGCCTTGCTCTGCCCCCTTTCTTCGTCAACAGAGCCTACCGGGTATGGATGATACCAGACCATGAATATTGTATCCTCCTCAAGGTCCTCGGTCTCCAGCCCATCGGGGTATTTCCTGGGTATCGGTGGTGCATCCGGATTGTACTGACTCTCTGGTAGCACCTTTGCTGCAAAGTAGCCAGAGCAAACGTATGCATCCACGAGGCTGATCGTCCGCTTCGTTCGCCGATGGTACATAGATGCTTTGGGGGTGATGTGATACTGAATTAGGTGACCTGACACGAGGAACAACTGCACGTATCTGCAGCCTCAAATATCACGTCAATCTTTGGCAAGAAAACAAGCCGAACTCACTTGTACCGCCCTCTGAGACCTTTCCTCACGTACAGCTTACCACCCTTCAGTATAGGTCTGCACTTATCCAGCACACACCAGTTGAAAATGTTGCTGAGGTCCGGAAGCGAAGCCTCCGGATCTGGTGGGAGCGTGTGCATGGTATGACCGTCCCGGAATATCCGAGGTGTTGGTCTCGCGCGCCCGGTTCCCAGCTGCACCACATTCATTTCTTCCCTTGCGTCGATGCGGTGACGGTGCTTCCAGTACCTCACCAGTGCTCGGAGACGGTCGATCCATTCCAGGGCTATGCGCCGTGAGTGGGCCTGACACTTGGGTCTAAGCACGAAGCAGAGCGTATAAGACTGTTTGATCACCTCGAAGCGGAAGATGTGCCCGTTCTTCAAGACGAGTTCGAACGAGCGCTTCATGCGTAGTTTAGGCTTGTCGTCACTCTTACCAAGTTCCTCGTCTCCGCCCTCATCGTCTGCATCACTGTCCATCCTCTCCACCTCCTCTTGCAAACCACGCTCATCCACAGCGAAGACGTGTGCATCGAAGTGCTCCTCGGTGTGGCGGACAGCAGGTTGGAACGCCCTCCGAATGACGAGAATATTTCGCATGTCCGTCATACCCTGTGCCTCCATGATTTGATGCATGCCCCTCCTGATTTCAAAATCACGCAATGTTGTCTTATTGTCTGCTAGTGGCAAACCAGGAGGGGACGGCGGGTGCGGGCTGTTCGCACTTAATGCGAAGAGGTACCCATTATGAGTCGTCAGGTATACCGCTTGCTTCCCTGGCGTATTGGCTCTGACCCGATCCAAGTATCCTTCGATAGCGGGGGGTTCCGTCAGGTGGGTGCCGTCTCTGAGGTGAAGATGAGTCGGATAATGCCTTGCTAGTCGTATTTCAAGGTGTGCAGGTTTACCGCCCTAGCACGTATTATCTCTCCACACACAGCCAGCAGGTAGAAATCTATAATTACGCACTTGAATCAGAGCAAGTCCGCAGATGACCTCCCAAGGCCTCCGCTCTTCGTCATCATCCGTATGCCGCCATACCCAGTCGAGCTTCGTGTCCATACGCCAGGCAAGCTCCAGATGCGCGCTGCCCTCGCTCAACGGCTTCTCAACAAGATATTCCCAGTCTTTCACGCTCTTGAGCGTCTTTCGGCACAGAGCAATGATGTTCTCTCGGCTGAACATGACGTATCCTCTGCCCTCCGGGTCACTCTCCTCGAACCCTGGGATGGCGATACGCACTCTAGTATCGAGCGCAGGTGAACTGATGTCCAGGTGAGTTGGCAACTGGCCGCCTAGCCGTCTCCTGGACAGAATGAGCCACACGGATAGAAAGTAGACAATGCATTACATTTACCAGAGGTTCCATATCCAGTCCGTCGCCCTGCTGCGGCTCTTCATTTTAAAGATAAAGATGTTGATACCTCGTTTTGCCCGGTGAAACAGTTTCCGCCGTTTCGAGTCACTGCGCACAGGCGTCGGCGGGCACGTGAGGCAGAATGACATGTCCACGAAGGAGTACAGGTACAGCTTCGTCCGCGGCGAGTTGAAGGGCACGAGGAACGAGAAGTGCTTATGGCCCGTCGCCCATTCCTTGAGAGGGAGGTGCTAGTAATAGGCTCAGACGCTGGGCTATCTATACACTGAGGAACATTGCATACGTAGTCTTCGTACAGCTCTAAACGATCCTTGCGCCAGGCGACGAGGAATTCGCCCATGTCCTCGTAGTCGTAACGCCCGCTGCGATTCTGGTACTCGTCGAAGTTGGGCCCGAGGGATTCTTCCTCCGAATACGACACCCTCACGATCATTCGATCTGCCCGCAGCAGTGAGTTGTGTGTGGAATGGGAGGATACTAGATGGGCATACCTCTCATAACCTCGTCGCCCCACTCCGCATCAGTAAATGACGAAGGAGCCTTGGTAGCACCGGCACTAGTCGTATCAATGGAGCTCCCAGTGCGAGCGAGCACCTCTCTCGGGGACGCAGGGTCCTCGTCGACTTCCTCGCAGTAATGAACGGTCTTACCCTTCTTATTGGCGAAATACGAGCCCTCCGGGGTCCGTACATTGCCAAGCTGGCCGTCACTGATCGCATTCACGCGGCTCGCCGACTTCAGTGCTGGTCGTCGAGGAGCCTCTGTGTGTGCTCTGCTTGACGCATCCTGTCTGGCGGTAACTTCAGGAGTGAGTAAGGGGGTCGTGCTGGAAGATGTGCTAAGCGGCCGCGGAAGCTCGTCGCCTTCGGGGATCGTAGGCTGCAAATGCCCAGGGCTGGCAAGAGGTGTCGCTGCCTGAGAAGAGGATAACGAGGAACGTATCTGCGACGGCGCCGTGACGAACGTCTCCACCTTAGTTGAGGATGCAGCCGTGAACTGCCTGGACTTCGGCGCCTTGGACTGCGTCGAGCCCGTAGGCGCAGGGCTGGCCGGACGCTCGTCTTGGAGTAGGTTGACGCCGAGAAAGTTCCCAATTTCGAAGCTGCTGCCCACCCAGCGGTGGTTGGTCGCGGGCTCCGTCGCGCGGCGCCTCCACACTTTCCCCCAGTCGCTCTCCTTCCAGCGGTCGAGGATCTCCTCCACTCGCCCCCGCTCCTCCTCCTCGTCCCAGTCGACGCTGCTGTCCTCATCGCGGTGGAGGAATGTGCGGAACGCGTGGTCGCGGATGAATCCATTGACGTCGTCCGTGTCGCTGGATTTACTCCGGCTGAACCACCGCCTTCTCTTCTGGCGCACGAGGGCTTCTGTTTCAGAGAGGAATTTCTCCGGCATGGGCCCTATGAATACGCGGGCATGCTTGTGGAGGTCGTTGCGTTTCGTCACGTCCAGCGATGAGCCTGAATTGACTGCCCTCGGGGGAAGTCCATTAGACGGAGACGCCATCTGTTCAATGTTCCTCGGAGAGCAAACAAAAAGCAGCAAGTTTCATCGACACACTCAGTGGTGTCAGTATCGAGACATTATACCCCAGCACGCTGGTCGACGCAGTCCACCCGGTGGACACAGATGATGGACGACGTCCAAGTACCCATTTGCCGCCGGCATCCGTCTATTTCAGGACCAGGGGTTCTAAATTCGGCACCTAGATGTCCAGCTTGGATGGCTTTCCTTTACCGTTCCTCACAGATGAATATTTGTCAGGGAGGAGAGTACACTCAGCGACGTCCGTGCGTGCATATCTATCCTCAAACAGAGTTACCACTTCCTGAGATGCTCTACATATGATATTATCAAAGGTACAAGGCTACAGAGGTCTGAGGTGAGTGGGGATTATAGAAGACTAACGAGAATTATACAACCAAGATAAAGATATCCAATACACCATGAACGGAGGAATAAACACGGAAGGGATATAGTATCACCGGGTACCACGCCAAATCACTGCGTCACTCGCTGCTCATTGAGCATTTTCTGCGACTCCTCAACGTACCGCGCCGCCTCCTCCCTTTCAAATCTACCCACCAGCCGACAGTCAGCACACGTTCTCCCATGAAATCCATGCGCGGAACTGATACTCACGCGACCTTGCGCCCCTTGACGTGCATGTCCGGCTCGCGCAGCGCAAACGGGTTCGTGTCCTCCTTGACATTCAGGTTCGCGAGGCTGTGGTTGACGAAGCGGTGTGTCGTCTCGTCGGAGCGCACCGCGTAGAGCACGTCGAGCAGCTTCGCGTCCGGCCCCAGGCGCCAGTAGTCCTTGGCGATCTCGGGCGCTGCCACGTTCTCCCTGCGCATGTGAGCGTGAGTGTCAGCTGTGGGGACCGGCGACGAGAGGGGACGTACCAGGCTGGGAGGCGGCCTGCCTCGATTTCTTCGATGCATCGCGTGCTATGGAACGGAATCAACCCCGTATCCTGTTGCAAAGGGTAGTGAATGTGCTTACTAGGTTATGACTGCCTCTTCCTCAAGGTAGCCAACGAAGCGATGGCACATTTTTGGAGACACAAGGTAAGAAAGGACTTCGGAGGAATTAGGGTCTGTGTATGCTGATGAGTCGCCCGTACTTACAGAACATGTTGTAATAAACGCCTTGAGCGCCCAGCACCAAGGCTCGGAAGAGGGCAGAGGGGTTCCGTAGAGTCATGAAGGTCCTATGGCTGACTCAGTGACAACAGAACGATCAAGAATGCGGAGACACTCACATGAGATGCATGCGCTCATTTTCGGCTTCCTCCAGCAGGGTGTGTATCCAGCCCGAGTCTCGTTTCTAACATAGCGGAGGTAAGGATCAACAGCATCGCTGGGTTATCAAGCAATTGCTTACCATGAGACGGAGACTGCGTAAATGTCTTACTGTTGCAGCTACCATACCAGGTACACCCGCTATGGCTTCCAGGAAAAGTATCCTCTGCACCATCAGGGCAACTATCAGCACAAGCGTGGAATCCGAAACGCTTCAGGCACGTACGTTGAGCCACTGGTGCTCATTCATAACGTACCCCTTCTTCCGAAGCTCTTCGAGAGTAGCATTAGCAGGCACGTGGTCGGGGTGCTTGTAACCTGACACAAGGTCGAATAGCCGCCTGTTCACAATGTTATATGCGAAGGCCATATTCGACAGATCATATCACTGACCTCGTATATTTTACGAGTGCATATGCGACCTTGTCCGAGAATGTCTTGGCTTCCTTATGAACAATCTATACCGGATATCTGAACAACCGCACGCAGACGCATTTTGATAGCGTACCTCAACGGACCTCAATTCTTCAGGACTGTAGACTGGGTGAAAGAGCACCCAGTCACCCTTTACTTTGTGGCCACCGACAGGCTGCGATGGGTCGACGACGGATCCCGAGGACTCCTGCGCAAGGTCACCTACGAAGAGTCATTGACCCCGTGATAAAGTGAGGATGACTAGTGGCTTACGTCGATGGAATCCCTCCGTCCCTTTGCCGGATTCTTCATGCGTCTTTTTGGTGGACAAGGAATTACAGGCGCGAGGGCTGGAGACAAAAGTGCGTCGAGCGGAGGCAGCGAGGACGGGGGTAAAAGCGACTCGGCTAGCCCTTGGCAGAGCAGATACAGCTACGACTGATAGCATAAATCGAGAAGTATATTGAATAGGATGTTGACTTGGAAGTGAAGGGCGCTCACCAGGAATCCTTATAACCATACCTGCTCTTCCGTGCGCTCCCGAAATCCGAATGTTGTGTTCCGGGACAGACCGCGCAGTTTAGTCACGCTACCGGCTGGCCAAACCTCAGCCAATGGCGCCACGCTCAGCCGCATTTATATCCCTGTCAATCGTAGCGTCCCCCACTCTCGATGAAGCGGCTATGGACGGTCATGCTGGGTGATCTGTTCATGCTGAGATTAGGCCAGCGTCCGGGGCCAGTCCATGCTTTCGGGAGAAGCACCGACGGTATGCGTGGCTGTGTAGAGGCTGTGTAAATGGCAGTCTTCCGGCATTTGTCCTAAATTAGCCGCAACGCCATTGGCCACGAGTGTTTCCGAGTCCGGGCGAATTCGTATTCGCTCGTATGTCTCGGAGCGTTTCTTTCTCAGCCAATCGTGTGCGACCGGCGCGGTGCTATCCCCCGCATTTGCATTGAAGCGTAGCTTCGTCAGTTGTATCGCACATCGACTCTCAAGTTCAGTTCTTATTCTCTGCCAATCGGGGTGTGGCAGAGAACGAGCACAAAGTGAAAAGCAATGGGAACCTCTCATTGGAGAACTTGAAATAGCCCCTGTTGAAAATACCGCCAGGGAGTGCTCCCCATGCAAGATAACACCGATTCTTGGGGAATCGGAACGATTTGCTACAGACCGACGCAATGTCCTCCTCGTGACGGGTGACCTCCCGAAATCCGGGGTATCCGGCCTGGAAAGGTCATCGCATGCGCGTTAATGCGGCACCGCCCTGGCAGTGACTTGACCTAGAGGCCTACGCAATTACTCCCCGCTACCCAGCGGGCGTTACTTATGATACATGCTTCATCTACTGAATCCTGGGTTTCTAGCCTCGCCTGCGCAAGGCGATGCTCGACACTGATGGTTGGAAATCAGAACGCCAGCCTACGCGCGTCAGCCCGGCAGCGCTAAACCCATTCCTGCCGTAATGCATAAAAGTCGGTAGGTCGAAATGTGCGAGATATCGGACCCCTCTCCCACTGGCATAGTAAGCCCTGCTGCATATGATTGACAACGTTTTCCCTCCCAAGGCAAAATGGGGCGTTGACGACATCCCCGACTTGACGGGAAAGGTGATGATTGTGACCGGCAGCAACACCGGCATAGGCAAGGAGACTGTTAAGGTTGGCCTTCTCCAACTTCTTCCCTCTGTACCAGTCTGACGGCCGCTATGATACTCAGGCGCTCTTGAATCACAACGCAAAGGTGTATATGGCGTGCCGCTCAAAGACCAAGGCAGAGGCGGCCATCGCGCAGCTGAAGGAGGAAACGGGTAAAGCAGCCATCTATATACACCTCGACTTGATGGATCTCCGGTCAATCAAAGTAACAGCGGAGGAGTACCTTCGGCAAGTATCGCTCAAATAATGTTTTAACCCCTTTGCTAAAGTGCACACTGTCCCAGACTCGAAAGCCGCCTCGATGTCTTATTCAACAACGCGTGAGTGCCGCTCGCCAATCCGTATGTATGTGCACCTGACGAATGCACAACGCGAAAGAGGGATAATGTTCCCTCCCATCGACGACCTTACGAAGGATGGCTACGACGCGCAGTTCGGGACCAACGTCATAGGTGTGCCTCCTCGTCTGGTTCCGCAGCCCATCCTCACCTCCCATCCCGACGCGTAGGCCATTTCTTCCTCACGAAGCTCCTCCTCCCCGTCCTGCTCGCCACCGCCCAGACATCACCGGAGCACACCGCGCGTGTGATCAACACGTCCTCCTTCGGCCACACGGGCGTGTCCAAGCTCGACTTCGACACGATGAGAGACGGGCCTGCGAGGCGGAAGCTCGGGCGGTACCAGCTCTACTCCCAGAGCAAATTCGTGAGTGCATGAGAGTACCTTGACCTCCGTCCACGCCTGCTGACCGAGCACAGGGCAACATCGTGTTTTCGAACGAGCTCGCGCGCCGGTACGGGAAGGACGGGATCGTCTCTGTCTCCCTCCACCCTGGTGAGTCCCTCGGAGCCCTCTCCAGCTGTCCTAGGAGATAACGCCGCGCCTAGGCATGCTGAAGACCGATTTGGCAAACAACGCCAGCTTCTTCAAAGCCATGGTCGTAAGCCCTCCGCTTTCCCGCGTATGCTTTCGAGCTGGGTAACATTTCCACAGGGCTGGACGCTATACCCAGCGCCCATGGGCGCACTCACCCAGCTTTACGCAGGGACGACGCCAGACGCCGCGGCGCTGAACGGGAAGGTCAGTTTATCATAGCAAGCCCCTCGCAGGCGACAGCTCATCGTCTGACCTTCTTCGTGAACTAGTATCTCAAACCCTGGGCCCGCATCGGCAAGGCGAGGAAAGAGACAGACGATCCAGAGACGGCGCGCCGGCTTTGGGAGTGGCTGGAGGAGCAAGTGAAAGACGTATGAGACGACTAGTAACATGCATACGAGACATCACTCTTGCGCTTGTACGTATAGCGAACGATGCAACATATACCTTTCTATGATGTTCTGTCTCGCGAGACGCGGCCACTGGTATAGACACACCAAGCCTATCGCATTCAGCGGCGTCATGAGAATCCATTTCCTATCACCTCCGCATAGGAGACGGTATGCAAAGGAACATTACAGTTTGCTTCTGGCAGGATCCCCCGCATTTTTCTTCTCCGCGGCAGCTGCAGCACGCTCCATCATCGCCCTCGTCTCAGTCGCAGCCTCCGCCAAGTAATGCTTCAGCTCCGCAGTCCGACGTTTCAGACTCGTAATTGTCCACCGAATATAATTATCGCCGATAGCATACGACAGACCGTAGCCGTCAGGAACGACTGCAACAACATACGATAAATTAGCACTTGAAAAGAAACATAGTGACTGAACGGCTGTACGCACCTTCTCCGTATCCCCATCCATCAATGAACGGTGACGATAGCTGCGAAGTCGAGAGTTCCCAGTGGCTCGTCCTCGAAAAGGCCTCATCCTTGTATATCTCAGGCAGAGGCTCCCCTTCCTTCAGGCACTTCTTCAACCCGAAGAGATGGCGATCGACGCCCTGGCCGTCGGCAGCCCAGGCGGCGTACTGCAGGTGACGGGACACGGCTTTCCTGAAGAGCGCCGCGCGATTCTCGTCCTATGACCCAAGCATAAGCTCGGGCATGCAAGACGCTCACCACGTCAGCGAGTGCTACTTACCGTCTCGTGGGGGTTCAGCATCGCCTCCGCCCAGGCCTTGCTCTCGTTGCTGGCGCTCCGGATGACCTCAGTCCGGCCGAGCTGGTATTTACGAGTCTGGCAACTCTCGTAGCAGACCCCCGGCCTTCCGAACATCTTGTGGAAGGCCAGCTGCTTCACGAGCTGCGCCCAGGCGTCGGGCGATGCCTTGAACTTCTTGATGTACTCTTTGCCGTACCCTTCGTAGTGAAGGACCTGCCATGAGGTATTAACAATTCCCTGGTAGATTCAGACTCAGGCATCCGTTACTCACGTGCAAGTCGTGTTTGGAGACTAGGTCGTCGAAGTTCTTCTCCGCCTGCTGGATATAGCCCTTCACCTTGTCGTTCAAGTCGAACTTCAACTCCTTGGGTTCTGGCAGATCCTTCCCGGTATTGGGCTCTCTAGCCGGACCGAGGTCGACTTTGCCAGCGGCCAAAGAGGCGAGGATGAACTCATTCAACCGTAAAGTAGGTGTGCCGTCCATGCATGAGTGTTCGCCCAGGAACCCGGATTTGCCGTTTTGGAAGACAATGACTGGATTCCTTTGTGATAAGCCAGGAACAGACACATACCCAAGGCAACTGGACGTACACTGGTGTTTGTCGTACCACCGATTCCTGCCGTCCCCGACCCAGCACTCCCACGACTTATCCTCCCGAGTGACTGGCATGGCGTCGTCGAGGCAGACGATCGTCATCGCCGACTCGATGCGCGAGAGCGTCTCGGCGTTAATTGGTGACGCAGCGAGCAGAGCTTCACGAGCCTAAACGTAGCAGTGAGACTATGACTACTACGCATTGAGACACCACACACATCTGCCCAGTTATCCCTGTTTTCGCTCGTCAATGCTCCCACAGGGATAGCTTTGTCTTCGCCCGCCTTCAGGATGACACGGTCGATCTGACTGACGGACAAATGCGCTCAGTCACGTTTATACGCAGCGAACGGGCAGACTTACGCTTCCAATTCTGCAGCAGTGAGTTCCCGCCCTTCGGAAGTCGTGAGAGCGACCTCATAGAACTTGTTCTGCCGCACAAAGACAACATGATTGTGTTCTTTGGGATCGAACTTGCGGGCGGTATCTGATGGCTTGGCGGGGTAGCGGCAGGAATGGAACCTAGATAGTAGGATATCCTTAAGTATTTACAGCGGACGCATCGCAGCTGGCCGGAGGAGGACTCACATCCATCGGTAGGAGTCCATGCTCAGAGGCATGCCCTTCACGGTCTCTGGTTGTAGCTGCTGTCTTCACGGACCAGGTTACACTCAGATTTCACACAGGCATGACAGGACGTACGTTTCCACCATTTCACGGAAGGGCAGCATGGCTTTGATGAGAGTAGCAGCTCGCCGTGCTTGGTCCCGTATCCGGGGGTCATCCAGATGGACGTAGAAGTAGCTCACATAGACCACAACAGGATCGCGATATCCCATGTACGCCGCATCGTTCCACCAGTCGATGATCCAGTTCTTCACAGACGGATCGGCTGCACGAGCTTCCAGACGGCGCTGCAGCTCCGCGACATGCGCAGACTCGAGGAAATCCTTCACGGCGGCCTGCGTCTTCGCAAATTTCGCATCATCGAAATGGGGCCGCACAGTCTCGAGGTACTTGTGTGCGGTGGATGAAATGGTGGGGACAGGTAGGCGGGGCAGAGAGGCTTCGTAGCGCAGCATGGGGCCCTTGGACGGGTCCGCGGTGTAACCGGGGGGCGCATCCGACTTTGCAGGCGCAGACGATTTCATTGAGCGTGGTTTGGACATGTTCACTGCTACACGCTATACGCCTGCTAAGTGGGAGGCCTCAGATGAAACTGGCATTACTTACGGGGACTCGGACGGGACGCGTACTAACCCTCTTCGACAAACCGAGCATGCCAGAATGCGGCGATAGTCAGGGAGCGCTGGTACAAGTCCTTCGGCGTTGGTAGAGGACTCCGCTGGGAATAGATGGACGGAGTCCCGCGAGCGAACGTCGACGGCGAGGACGATGGAATTCTTAGCATAATCCCAAGTTAGCCTCAGCTTATAGCTGCATCGGCTATCCGGTTCTCCCTCACCCTCGTGATACCTTTCCTCACCGGCTAGTGCCGGCTTGGGAGGGGGGGGGAGCTTCAGCCTTCAGGTATTCTATAGTGGTCTCACCGCTTCATACATTTGCATTCCCTCGGCATCCAGTGGATAAGTTAATGCGAATATATTACACTACAAAAAGGTTGTGGAGGCGAGAGCATCCTACACCGATAGATATACCGCTAGTGAAAACCCTGATGACACGAGACGTGGGCGAAGAGGGCCAAGGCGGAACTGTGCAGCACTGAATGCTGGCGCCCCTCTATCCGCACAGACGAGATCATGGGCAGAGCTTCTCAGCAACTTCAGTGATCAATTGCCTGATGTCCTTCTTCGTGACCCCATTCTCACCGCATCCGCCCTTCTCTAGCTTGCCCTTCAGCGTCGACGACGCTTGCACGACCTCCAGTAACGGCCCTAGGTGCTCCTCATACAGAGGCGAGAGTCGCAGGAGGAAAGCAAGACATGCCGTCAGACGGTGCACTGCATGGTTTGTGGTAAGGATGACCATCAGAGTGGAACAATCAGGCTTGAACTCACAAACTTCCTCGCTCTGCGTCTCTCGGCCGATCGCCTCCACGACTGCGCTTACCATTTCCACCTCCCAGTCCCCATCACCGCCGTCCGCGTCGATGCTCCCCCCACTCCGCACTCTCTCAACCCTCAGTTTCTGCAAGTACGCAGCCACGTTAAACGCAAGACTGGCAGCGGCCGTCCGCACGGCAACTTCATCGTGCAGCAACGTCCGCACGAGAAAAGACGTCAGCTGCTCCCGCAATGTGCTGTCCTGAGTAAGCAGCCGCCGGGCAAGTGAAGGAGTGGCAAAGGCATTCGAGAGCATACGCAACACAACCAGAAGGTAATTTCGAGCCTTGGGATCGTCGGCTGTTAACGCAGCCTTGGAGAGGAGCGTCACAACGGGATCACAAGATCCCGCGGGAACGTTGTTAGCAGCTGCTGCCCATCCGCCGACCACTTCATCCAACAGGGCCAGTCTCCACAGGTCTGCGACAGGGAACAGCTCCGCCGGGAGGAGTGCCTCGGCCAGGACGCCGGTTATCTCGGCCCACTTATTCAACAAGATTGTAGTTGCAGGAACAGCGGGTGTTGCCTTCTTCTGAGCTTCTGGAGTGGAGGGGAAGCGTGCTTTCAGGTAAGGCAGGATAACTTTCGTAAAGGCGGCCTGGACGTGGTCCTTGCTTGGAGCGGAAGGCCACGTCTGGCTGGCTTCGATGAAACCGTTCAGCTTATTCAGCACGTTGTCGAAGGCAGGGACCTGCTGAAATAGAATTGGATTGAGGGAAAGAGACTCTACTGCCGGTAATGAGAGTGACTGGTGGGGGTGCGCTAGACAATGGTTGGTCAACCAGGATCATTAACGATCAAGTGACCGACTTACGAGGAAAGGCTTGATAGAGGAGCAGGTCTACTTGAGTGCGGAGTTCGGGACCATCAGCGCCCTTCATCTCATGTATCTTCTTCCCATCGAGAAAGAAGATGAATGTCGGGGTCACCCTCACTCCATACTCAGACGCAACTTGCGAGCTCATTCCCGTCCCTAGATCAATCTTAGCAAATGCCACTTGTCCCGGGCTCCGACCCTGCGTCTTGTTCCTGGCAATTTCCTCAAAGATGGGCTCAATCATCCTACACGGGCCGCAAGTAGCGGAGGTGAAGAACGCAGTGACTGCTCTGTGAGACTTCAGCGTGGAGTGCCAGGAAGCGGGGTTAGTAACCATATGGATGGGGGCCGCGACGGTCTGTGTGGAGGGTGTGCTAGTGCCGGATGGGGACGGAGTAGGGAGCTGCTGACCACCAGCTGCTTGTGCGGCAACCGCTTGCAGTAATGAAGCCGCAAGTTGCGGGTTGGGTGAAGCAGCCGCCGCATTTGCAGCCGATTGAGCGATACCGGCTGGGGGTGTCGGAGTAGCACCAGGGACGGGACGGCGGTACATGTTGTCGATGGTGGGACGCAGTGCAGCGCCAAAAGGTGTAGAGAGGAAGTCGGAAGGTAGGTCTAGAAGTACGTCGCTAGTGAGCAAGCAGAGGAAGCCTGCGATATGGGACTCACCTTTGATCCAGGAAGGTATCGACCCTCCAGTGAGGAATCCTACAACGTCGTTTGTGAAGGAGTTGCAATTGAAATCTTTGGGAGAGTTAATCCATTATGAATGTAGAACTCTCACGGAGTGACATACCTAGTAGGTGATACTGCAAGGAGGGTCATTCGAACCTTCGCGCGAAGGGACTAGGGATAGAATGCGTACCTTGTCCGCTGTATAATGCTCACGCATCTCTGACAAATACTCCTCAAACGTAGCCTCATCTATTGCTGTCTCGCCCATATCTACGACTTGCAACGGTCGCCCGTGCTAGAGGAACGTCATGTCCAGTCCATCCTGCCATTCGAACGACGGACTTACATGGGATTTCCCTGGTTCTGTTATACTTATTCCCTGTCCATAGAATATTTCTTTGCCATACACCACCACTGAGGTGTGCCTACGCTCAGGACTACGTCAGTATCTCTGCTTCAAAATGACCGCAACCGTCCTACGCACCAGATCCCGTCTATTTGTCTGCCGGTCAACTGGCGCGAAAGTTGCTTTGCCAGTCCATTACTGAGATCGTACACGTATAGTTCGACTTTGGTCATCTATAGCGAGGTCTAGAAGGGCGTTTTGGAATGGTTGTGTGAGGGTCCTTTGTAGCGCCATGATGAAGACGCGTCGCGGTACAAAAGAGGAGAGGCAGTTCGGCTCCTTTCCACGACCATCGAGAAAACGTCCCTCGACGACGCGCAACCTCCCCAGCCGCTGCCACTTCCGCAGCCCTCGCGTGCCAATTCCAAAGGTTCTTGTTTACCTGAGACTGACTGATGGGAGGTGGCTCCTTGTTTTGCCCAGCATAATGGCCAGTCAACATGGATCGATCTCGGCACGAAGTTGCGTCTCGATGTCGATGTCTGCAGAGACGCTTTTCTGTGGCTTTTGAATTTTGAGTCCCTTGGATGCTGCCAGGTATTCTCTCTACCAAGGCTCTACTAGATCTGTGCGCGATGCCATCTGTCTCCTCGCTGGCTGCAAACTTAATGGCCACTGGGCGTCCTTGGTCGTCTTCAAAATCTGCGAATGACGCTCGAGTCTTTCGGTTTCAATCGCTGCGTTGGTGCTTCTAGTCAGCCAACTACCCGCCATAAATAGCTGGGCGTATCTTGCTTCGTCCTTCATCTGCACTTGGTTCGTCTACACCAGACAACTTTCACATTCATTTCTGCGGCCATATGCGTCCGACTAGCACCCTCGCCGTACCGACCCAAAAGGCTTGCAATATACCCACCGCGCCTGGGTTCTCTGTAGATCGCCGTACTCCTCTGCTGCCGAAGACTTCTGTACCCTCCAGGCCCCCTTTGCGTGACGTACGTAACGCGCAGCGTGTTCACCTTGCACGTAGAGACCCGGGGGCAAACGTTCGGCTGCAGCCGTCCGGCCGTCCCAAGGAGTCAACTACGTTATCATGTCCCCACACTTCAAGGGCGGAGGTCGCGTTTGTTCGCTGCGTGCCGACGCCGATGTCCATTCCCGTCCCCACTTCCGCCACACCAGCACCCAGTAGTCTCCTCCGTGTTGCGAGATCTTCACACCCAAGCACTTCTTCTGGGGCCGGCCTGCCTACCCGCAAGTTTGTTCGTGAAACCGCCCATATCACACACGCAAGGACTCAGGCTTGTCACGGTCCTATATCGACTCCACCTACCGCCATAACGTCGTCGCCGATATATGGTCGGAAGCAAGTATCATCGGATTGGAGTCTCTCAGGCCTGAAACTAGAGTCCCTAGCACCACCGAAGCAAGGGTTCTGTAACGCTTCGGATCGTCTGGCAGAGTCCTGCGTCTTGTTGCATGATGCGTTCCAACGCGATCTAGAAGATGTACACTCCGATGACGAGGCACTCGATAGCCTGTTCCTGAGTACAGTACGGTCGAATCTTTCGGGCGTCTCTTGCCTCCCTGGGATGCCTCTAATCAAGCATGCTCCTGCTGCTTGCCCTATAATCCGCCAAACGCTTCCTCAACCTGAAGGTTCTGTCGCTGATGCCACTCGGATGTCTCGTTTCTCTATTCCCGCTTTCGGCGCGATCGAGGAGGAGGACGAACCCGAAGGATTATGGTATTACTTCCTCAGCAAAGATTCTATCACAGAGTTCAATACGGCCCCTACCTCGCAGTCGATAAGCTCGGTCGCGCCTACTTTGGCCAGTCCTGACTTGGTGGCGAGGCTTGCTTCTGAACTTTGGGAGATCAGTTCCGATGAAGGCGAAGACGAGACTGACGGCGGAGAAGAGGCGCCCCCAACTGTTGTTCGCCCTCTTCCCTCTACGAGACCTACTTCGATTGCTGTCCCTGGTTCCTACAAGCCGATAGGAGTTCTAGCACCTAATAACAAGCCCAAGGCCGAGAGAAGTTCTCTGTACGTGGATCGAGGTCCTTCGTCTCGCGATACCAAGAGGTCGTCTACGAAACAAGATGTTATGACGTCGTTCACGCGGCTAGCAGATGCAGTGAAGACAAAGTCCGTGCCCTCCCCTTCTCGGCATGCCACACAGAAGAAAGTCGAGATGTTGCGAGAAACAACCAAGGCGTCACCGAAGATCGCTATGCGCAGTATGCGGCATCTGTCCCACATATCCGTGTCAAGAATTCCTGGGTATCGCCAGTACAAAGCGACGGGGCCTAGCCCCAGCATAGGACGGAAGGAGCGAAACCCAAGTCAGCATGCGCCGAGGAACCGATCCATGGCCGCTCCTCGTCTGAAGGCCGGCTTACGATCTCCTTCAGGATACAACCCGACTATTAAGAGGTATTGCCAAGGTCCTGCGAACGAGCATCCTATCGTTCCTAGGAGGCGCCCGCCGGTGCACAAGGGAGCTCAGCCGGCGAAGTCGAGCACTAGTTGTCCTCTGGTCTATTCTGCCCCGAGTCGCGGCATCATGATGATGACGCCTGTGCTAGCGGTCCCACATCCATCCTTGTGGATGATGCAGTCGTCGTGCGTCGACCCCAAGAAGCGCAGGAGGAATGGTGCGTTGCTAGGAAATCGCGAGGTCCGTCTTTGAGTGCTTTTGACGGGTACTTTATCTACACTTGATGTATTCTCTAGTATTTGCAGTATACATATTTCTCGTACGTGGTGTTGTTCACACGTTCACTGACACGTCGCCCTTTTCCACACTGTTGAGTGCTGCGACGACTGGTCGATATCTGCGCAAAACCACATCCTGGCCGATTTCCTACTTGCCTGGCGGAAGGCATTCTCCCGAACTGGCATCTTCCCTTCCCTTGCCACGGCTGATCTCGTGCGGAATCACCGGTCATCGTGACCTCACAGCCAGCGCGCACGTCGTCTTTGTTTCTCCCCGGGACACGTATCCGTGGCTGTTGGTACCTCTGACTCTGAGTGCCGCTATTCCAGGGATCTCCTAGTGGTAGTCGGTACTGTCGTCCTCCCGGGCTTCCTCTAGGAACATTTCCAGGGCTTGCAAGAGCTGGTTGTTACCGGCATTGATACCGTGGCGTCTGTCAGTGTCACTGCCTGCTATCACATTCTTCGCCGGAGTCCTTGACCCACCTCGGATATCCGTGCTTAATCCTGCACCAGGATGGTACATGTCGGCTGTTGGCAGAATGGGTGCGTGACGTCTGGGCGAAATGGTCCGTGTCTTACGTTTATTTCTCGAATGTCATCCTCCAGTTCGGACAATTGAGTCATGACGCTGAAAGCACACTACCCGGCCCATCCACAGGAAACACCGACATTCATCGCCATGTACAGGCTCGACAACCTGTCACGACATGTCTTGGGTCTCCGGCCTTAGGCTTTTCTGTGCCATTAGATCCCTGTCGGGCTTTGTTTTGGTATTCTCTTATCCCATCACCTGAGTTGGCCGATGCACGGAGAAGCCCAGGTACTCCAGAACATGGCACCCATGACGCTCGCCTACTCACTCCGCGTACATTGCCGCGTCTGATATATCTCATCGGACGTGCTAAAACGGACCAGTTGACTTTGGCACTACGCAGGCAAATTATATTTAGCGGGGCATATGTATAGGGTATCTCGAAGTGGTCCGCTTTCACTCCCCCTCCACTTGCGCTGGTTACCGCTCTGACCCCGATGTTCCTGTACCTGCTATTAGGCATATTGTCTATTTATCAGGCAGCAGACGCCACACCCAGAACCCGCAATGGCCTGGGAACAATTGCTTTGGAAGAGGCCTGGCAGTTCCCGGAGTTGGCATACCTTGCAGAAAACTATGCACCTCCGGTAGGACAGACGACTGAAGATCTGTCAAACAACCTTGTGGATATCCAGGGTCATAGGCTTCAACTCATGGATGAGTACGGGATTGACTATATGGTAGGTCTTCCCAAGATTTTCTACAAGATGTATGTGGACGGTTGGGCCTGATCGCATCCTGAGATTTTGTCATGGACAAGTCCGGGGCCGCAAGGGTACTCGAATCAGACTGAGGCCGAGGCTATGGCGACGAAGGCGAACGATTACCTTTATGAACAGGTTTGGTTTCTGTACTACATCTCAAACGTATTACATCTGAGGGGTCGGTAATTCAGATACAAAACAATACCGCTCGTTTCGGTGGCTTTGCAGCCTTGAGTATGCACGACCCCGTTCAAGCAGCAGCGGAGCTCAATCGGACCGTCACAGAATATGGTTTCGTAGGTGCACTGTACGTTTGCCGTCGGTGTGAGAGCAGCATGAATCACATATATCGACAGGCTGAACGATTATCAAGAATCCGGACCCGACAATGGCACACTTCTGTTCTACGATCAACCTGAGTACGACGTATGTCGCGATCTACATAACTGTTCACATCGTTACGAAAGCTGTTCCAGGTATTCTGGCAAATGGCCACTGACCTCGATGTTCCAATTTATATGCACCCCCGTCTCCCTGTTACGCAAGAGATAGACCTCTTGTGGCAAGGGCGAAAGTGGCTGCTCACAGCGCCCTGGCAATTCGCGAATGACCTATCGAGTCATGTGCTGGGGATAGCTACGAACGGGTGCGTCGATAGACCGGATCAGATGTATACGCTGAATAGCATCGGTTCTAGTGTTTTCGATCGCTTCCCATCCCTTCGCATGATCGTCGGGCACAATGGGGAGCGGATTCCTTCCGATTTTTGGCGTGCGGATCACATGTTAGAGAGGCAGAAGCTCTTAGGCATGCCTATGAACAGCACTATCGTGGGGTACCTGAAGAAGAACATCTGGATCACGACGTCTGGCGAATTTTACAATGATATTCTGCGATACCACATCAACCAACTTGGGGCTGATCGGATTCTGTTCAGTGTGGATTAGTGCGTCGTGCTGACAGCGAATGGTCTCCTGATGTCCTCATGCACAAATTCACAGTCCGTACGAAACAGTCGAAGAAGCTTCGAGGTGGTTTGCCCGGTTCCCTTTCGCCGACGACGATGAGAAATATTTGATCTCTCGAGGCAACGCCATAAGCATCATGAAGCTCGATTTACGCTAGGCGGCATCAACAACTATGATTGTATTGTTGAGGGTACGTTCTCTCTAAATTCGGGCACGCTCATTGAATAGGGTCACTGAATCTATTTGCCTAGTTATAGTGATCCTAGGAGGTATCTGAGTGATCCCCTTCATCTAGTCCCTATTATATACATCACGTGTTCAAGCAATGCCTATCGCGAATGCGAGTCAATAGTCAATGAACTTACCGACCCGCGATCGCTGGCCCGGAGTTCGATCTAGTGCTGTACCTATGATACCTCAATCTCCAGCGCATGACGGCGCGGTAACACTGTACATACGGCCCATAGCCAGCGTTTCTTACCGGAAGGCGCGGTGTCTCCCATCGTCCGGTCGTGAGTATCGATGTACTCTCACCACAGCTAAATGTATGAAGTGCTTGCGGGTATGCGTTACTGGAGGTACATCTCCTCTCCATGTTTCTCAACAAATCAAGGGCTCCGGGCTTCGTCACTCCTGAAGATGTATGGCCGCCCACCCTGCGATCCCATATACACGTTGCGCATGTGTCTCGTTCCGCTTTCTTACTTGGTATCGAGCTACAGACACACGATACACTGATGTCAATGTAGTTTTCATATCGAGGGTCTACGTGTCTTACAATGCTTTCCCCTTTACAGCATGCGAGGAATATTTAGGAACTGCAGTTCGTAAACGGATGTTCCGCTCCTTCAAGCATTGTATATCCTCCCGACCAGCCGGATCACTGCGTTTACTGCTCGTGCTCCAGCCTATGGACTGTCCTCTTCCCCGGGTGATATCTTGTCGTAGTCTTGTCCCTGTTGACTGTTCTAAATGCCAGCTGGGCAAGTGATATCCGACATCACAGAGGTGTGCTTTTACCCGACTTCGTATCCAGACAGCTCCCGACGTATGGACGAACGGACGGTACCGCTAGACCCGGGGTCGTCCAGAGCAACGTCACCCGTTTCGCCCACTTTCTCTTGAACCCCCGTTAATGTAGCCTTGAAATGATCAAGACGTGAACGGGTCGAAGCAGATGCAGCAGTCGGCCGAATGATGACACTTAGGTATTAAGGGGTGTGGAATGGTGTATGGTTATAATGCAACAGCGATGGGAGTAGCTAACAGTATGGCTTCACGAATGGAGCAGCGGTACCGAGAAGACGAGTTACCGTACTTGTTCCCAAGAGGCGTTCGAGGGTAGTCATCCACTCAGCACTGGCAGGATAGTTAGTGAGTGCGAGAGTGAGTAATTATCAAAGTGAAACAATCCACCCTTGGACATTGACATCCGCGGGCGTATCGTTGTTCAGTGTGTGGATTCCTCGTTGACCTTAGACACTGCAACATACCAGCCAAAGCGTGAAGCGGGCAGAGCACAGTTGGAAGCATGCGTGCCCAGCATCACAGATTGCCGCATCTGAGCATGCAAGTTAGGGGCGCAGGTGTTACCGTGTCCGATATCTTACCCTATGTAAGTGACGGCAACCTGCTCTAGTACAAATGCCCCAGTTGCGTGTGTCAGATGTGGCCTGAACTGAGCAGTCAGGCAGGGGAATGACGGATCCGTTCAACTCGCCTCTGTAGAATGAGTGGGGCAAGTTCAGTGGGCCTGGGGTCCCTGAGACTGGCGCTATGCATCGGGCTCATCGCATGCGGGGGGTATAAAACCTGCTATTGCTGGAGCCTGGAGGCGTCCTTGAAGACTGAAGTCAGCTCTCACAATCGCCTTGGGCTTCAAGGCTGAGACCGTGGTTCAGGCCTGTTCAGGTAGCTCGACACATCTATTTCAGTCCCAAGATCACCCTACTACATACACATTGCGGACACGAGCTCAGAGCTGTGAAAGGCTTGCGCATTCATCCCCAGCGTTCTCCACTTTGCCTTGCCCATATCACGTTCAAAACCAAGCACAAATTTGCCTCCTTGTTCCTCTTCAATGGCTGCTAACGATGCCACAATTCATTTGGCTGAGGAGCCATTTGCCCTTGAGATCAAGAGTAAGTGATGCCTTTCGGCGAGTGTCCGAGTTGCGCCGCCAACATCATCCACAACACCGTAGACATCAAGATCCATGGGCCCCCTGGGCGGCCCCTCGAACGTGAGAAGTGGGGCAACCATAAACTATATGTGACGGTGATATGCACTGACACACAACAATCACCAAGGACCAAAAGAAATAAACCTAAACCCCGTGATATGGGTGAAGGCGGTCTGAGACAACTGAAGGGTATTTAATAGTTCGAGGGGGAAAGGAGGAGTAAGACGCCGTAGGGTAGTCCGTAGGAAGACCTAGAAAAATAAAACAAAATCTTGATGCCTGAAACAAACACTAATGGACGCTCCGGAGTATTTATCTCCGAAAAGTCGCAAACAAAGTCGCAAACCACGGAACCGAGTGTAGGTTCGGGCCCACGGGAGTAGAAATTGCTAGAGAAACTTGGTTAATTTTATTTCGCTATGTGAGACTCACCGGAGCTAATTGGATCGATGGCGGAGATAATTCACTCGACGAGTCAGGCCTATTGGCAAAGCTAAGATCGGTTATAATTCGCTAAGTTCGACGCTTTCGAACTTCTCGGGTCGCTGAGATCGTAACTCTAATTCTCTGAGATGGTGAAGTCGAAACTTGTTTTTCTGTATGCTACTTTGTACAATTTATACTGCAGGAATGGCTTTGCGACCGTTCGGAGATAAATAACAAATAACCGCCGCTACCCACAGGATTGCTCAGCACTTTCCTCCGCTATACCATACACCATACGACTCTCTTGCACTCCTACTTGCTCATCCCAGCCCCTAGAGGTC